GCCTCATTGTCTCCCTTCTTCTGTTTGTCTGTGTATTCTTTCGCTATCCCTATCGCCGCTGGATCTCCCCTCCTCGTGAACCAAACACGCGTGACAACTATGTCGAGGTCAGACCCTGGCAGGTACCGACTGGATGGCACCTCACAACAACAATGTCACAGTGGGTAAGCACTTGATAGTGAATCAATAGGTTCATGGTTTGAACTCACCAGCCTCTTGGTGGAAGTAAGATGTGGCATTCACTTTGTATAAACATCTATCACTTTGGAGATCCAATCAGGCAGTTCTGCTCTATCCTCTAGGATCACTATGAGCTGGAATTGACTAGATGGCAATGGCTTAGTCTTGTTTTGTGTTTTGTTGTTTTTGCATGTATTCTTTGAATGAATCAGTCCAGGTACATTAACCCTTTACTGAATCAAAATCAAAATGTTCTTCAACAAAATTTTGACTTTATATCCTGGTGTGGCACTGTGGGTTAATATGCTAGACTGCAAAGCTGTTTCAAGCTCACCAGCTGCTCCTTGGAAACCCTATACAGTGTTGTTATGGGTCAGAACCATCTCGACAGTATTTAACAACAACAACAACAACTAAACAATGGATTCCTGGTGTGGTGCTGTAGGATAAAGCAATGGATCTAAATGTCAGTTTGAACCATAACATCGGTGGTTCAAACTCACCAGCCACTCCTTGGAAACCCCATATAGGGTTGCTATGAGTTGGAACCAACTCAATGGCATTTGAAAACAACAACTGTTTTTACAATACTTTTGGGAAAGATTCACTGTGGGGTTTTTGTTTTGTTTTGCTTTGTTTTTTATGTTTTATTGTGAATTATATGATAGTTTACATGAGAGAACTTTAGTTTTACATTCATTCTATCGTATATCGTTTCATTGCCATGGTTCCAATCCCCTCCATGCATCATCAACCAACCAAAGGGTATACCCTTCAAACCCGCTCCCTATACTACCTCCCCCAACCCTCCACCCCAAGTCTTCAGCACACAGTCCCTCTCCCTCTCTGGACCCAAAGTCCCCAGCCGCTTCATCCCTCCACGTCATTTTCTCTGCCTCCATCTTAGGCATCGCTGCTTCTCTGGGTAGGGTTCCGCTCTCGGCTCCTCTATGTTGATGGTCCTAGAGATCTCCGCTCCTAGACTGGAGAGTTAATCACTCCCTTCCTTGCTATAAAACATCTACCTTTACATTTCCAACCATCACAATCAGTCCTGATAACAATTATTCACTATTGTATCACAAGTGACCCATCTGTATTTCATTTCATCAGCTCCGCCTAAACAGATTAGATAGTACTCACTGGAGATTCTGCCTTCCTCCATGTCCCCTGGCTCTGGGTTCCCTCTTGAAAGCTTGTAAGCCAGTCACTTCTTGCCTTTGTAGGCCCCCACCCATTTTGGGTATCCAATGTCCAACTTGCCCATCCCTGTCTACTCTGTGTGTGGAGGGGGTGGGAATGATTCTTGCTGTAGGATTTGTTCCCTCTTTTGAGTTACTGCATCCATAGGTGTAGATCAAGTTCATCAAATTGTATCAGATTACTCTTTTTTTCCTCTTCTTTCTTCTTCTAGTTGAGCTCTGATCATCCAGTCATTAAAGCCAGGTCAAGTGGGTATTATCTACAAGTGTGGGTGTTCTTGTGCATATGCCCTCTCTTCTTACCAGCCGGTTGCTTCACTCTCTACCCCAGTCCCCCGTGGCCATGTCACTGATTCTGGGCCCAAGAGTCCCCAGGTCTTCCCACACTGCTGGCCAACTAGGTCTCCACCCAGATTCACAGAGGCCTATTGAACATTGTAGGGCTCAGCTCACTGCTTCTTTGCTGTTTTTACCTCACTTCCCCTTATCGGTGATGAGTGTGGTCACCAATCAGAGCATGTATTTCCGTTGAGTCTTAGTCTTGGAAGTGGGTTTGCAATGAGGGGACCCCACCACTTGCCTTGATGTTTCCTGGATAAGCAACTTGTTTATTCTTGCCGTCTAACAGTCCTTCTGCCTCTGTTGTTTTGTATTTTTCCTGTAGGTTTTTCCTTCAAGAAGTATCTTCTGTTCTTCTAGCCGCTCCAGGCTGGTCTGTTCATCCTTTCAAGTGTACATTTCCCATCTCTGGAGATTTGGATATGGTTCACACTTCTACCTATAGTCTTATGTATTGCAAAGGCTCCACAGGAAGCCTCCTTCACTGGGCACGTTGTAGCCCCATTTTAGGTATTCCAATCAGTTATAGGCAGAAGATGGACTTACAAGCTTTCTATGGAAGATTCACTGTGTTTTGCACTTACCTACAATGTCAGTCATAAGACCTGTAATCTTCTCATCTCCTGTAATCCAGGGACGTTTCCCCACTTCATGACCATAGGCTCCTCTGAAATGGAAAAGGGACATAAACATTCCTTAGCTTTCTTCATGATCATTCATAAAATATCAGCATTAGCAAACTTGCATATTTCTGAGCTGACCTTTGGGATGTTTTAGTAGTTATGTAACAGAATGTTATATTTAAACCAAAAAGTAATGCTTGGGAAATATTTTTTAACATATATTAATTATTATTTCTTTGATTTGTTTTCAAGTGTGGGAAGAATTATTTCTGTATTATTTTCTTAGTTTTTTTTATAATATTTTTGAATAAGATGTTATTTTTTTTTCACATTTGTTTTGGAAAATTCAAGACAATTTGAACACTCAACATGTATAATGTACTAACACTTGCAGAATATTATTTTAGGTTAGAGACGGTAAGTATATATTACTGTATAGTTATAATATGTACATTATTGTTGTTAAGTGCTGTGGAGTCGGTTCAGAACCACTGTGACCCTGTACAGGGTTTCAAGGAGCAGCTGGTGAGTTTGAACTGTCAACCTTGCAGTTCAAATGGCTTTGCAGTCTGGCGCATTAACCCACAGTGCCACACCAGGACTCCTATATAGAAGTGTATAAAATACAACTATACTCATGATGCCTTTTTAAGTAGATAATGAAATTTGGCACTAGTTAAAGTCAACATTACTCCTTGACCTATTTTCTAGAAATTCCAGGTGTCAATTTTATTATTCTAGCAAGTTTCATGTAGTCCTGGTGTGACACTGAGGATAAGCACTGAACTGCTAACTGCAAAGTCAGTGTACAAACCTACCAGCTGCTCCTTAGAAACCCTATACAGTGTCACTATGAGTCGGAGCAAACTCGATGGTACTTAACACAACAACAACACCAAGTATCACAATAAGCCTTATGGAAAAAATATAGGATATACAAAACAGGACTTCAACCTTTAAGAAACCTATATCAAATAAAAAAGCTAAATATATGTGAAAACTATATAAGACAAAGTCAAACAAAGGATCAGGATAAAATGCTTTCAATTGCTATTAAGAACTTAGATCTTATAAGAGATAGTTTCAATAAGCTTGGGGAAAAATGGAATGAAAAGATAATGGGATTTTTCCAAGAACTTTTTGAAGCCACCTCATATAGTTCTGAGTTTGTCATGAACGCTTTAGAAATCCAAAGACTTTGCAAGCTTGGAAGTAATGAATTGGTGTGAATTATGTGTGTCCTGCTAGATTTGAATTCATGCTCTGAAACTCAGTAAGTTAGCAACAGTGGGCTAGTAAACCAGCTCTTTTTGTTGTTAAGTGCTGTGGAGTTAGTTCTGACTCATAGCAACCCTGTAACAGGGTTTCTGAGGTGTTCCTGGTGAATTTGAACCAATGACCTTGCAGTTCAAACTGACCTTGCAGTCCAGTTCATTATCCATAGCACCACATAGAGGTCTGTATATGTGTTTGGTTGAAGGGATTTGGGGATTTGAGTCCTATGCCTTTGCTGATTATCATGATTTTCAGGGGGTAAATATTCCCATTGAGGCTGATTTCAAACAGCTAACAAAAATCGTGAATATTTAGCTATCAGCTCTTGTCACCAGGTGTAAGTTAGCTCAGATCATCACAAGATTGTGAAACTCCATTTATTAATAGCAACAACAGAAGCTAGTTTTCCACATTTGTAAAAGTAAATGGTAACTATATACAGGGTAGATAGGGACTGGCAACTTAGATATTGGCTACCTAAAATGAGGTGGTGATAAAGGCACAAAGTGACTTGCTTACAAGGTTTCAAGAAGGAGTTTAATTCAAGAGTGTGTGGGGAATGGTAGAGTCCCCACTGGATAGTTTTCATCTTATCTAGATGGGTCTGGCAAAAAGGTGTGGGGATAAGATTCTCATGATTCAATAATGAATAATTGTTATCATGACTAATTGCAACTATCACAATTTGTAAAGATAGAAATTTTGTAACAAAACTGGGGGATCAGTTAATCTTACAGTCCAGAAACAGAAGACCCTAGGACCATCAAGAGAGAAGAGCACAATCAGAATGTGGGACCTTATCCAGAGAAGCAGCGATACCAGAGATGGAGGCAAAGATGGGGAGGGACATGGAGAGAAGGAGCAGCTGAGGACTCTAGATTCATGGAAAGAGAAGGACTGAGAGCTGGTGGCCAGGAGGCAGACTTGCTGAATGTTGCCCTTTGGTGGTGTAAATTATTACATATGCCTGAGTGTTTAAAAAAAGGGAGGGAGGGGCACTGTGGGTTAATGTACCAGACTGCAAAGAGGTTTGAACTGCAAAACAATTTGAATTGCTTCTTGGAAACCCTATACAGGGTCACTATTGGTCAGAACTGACTCCACAGCACTCAACAAAAACAACAACAACAACAACAACAAAATGAATAGAGAGAAATACTGTTAACTGATGGTACATGGTGGGGATTATAATCATTGTAATGAAACAAAGTATATGATTCAGTGAATGTAAAACTGATGATGTGCCCTGTAAAGTTTCACTCAATTCACAATAAAAACTTAAAAAAAAAAAAAAAAAGTAAATGGTGACAACAGTATGCACATGTACCTTAAAGAGTTTTTGTGAGAAATAAATGAGATAATATTTATAATAGGAATTGGTACATGGTAGAGGAGTCCTGGTATGTTGTTCTAGGAAAAGCACTGGACCGCAATTGCAGTTTGAATTGCTAGGTTGGCAATTGAAACTCACCAAGCAATCCTTGGAATCCCTATACAGAGTTGCTTTGAGTCAGAACTTTCTCAATTGCATTTAACAACAATAACAGAGCTTCAAGAAATATGCTTCTTTCTGCCTTTCCAGACATTTCTTTTTTAATGCAAATCTAATGACAAAACTCCCTACAACTAGAAGTGGTCATATCGTGCATAACACAAGTTGAAAATTAGTATTTCGATTACCATATAAATTTAGATGAAGAGAGTGTTTTTGTTTTTTGAGAATTAACATTCTATATCCTCAAGAACTAAAGAGGAAGAAAAGGCTAATTGTTAGTTACTGTTATTCATATTATTATTAGATAGCCTACAGCTTGCCTCTTTTTTTACTTCTAATATAAATGCTAAAGACAAAAATCCTTATCATTAAATGGTTGTTAAAGGCATATACTTGGATCCTTTTTTTATTTTAATCATATAGAGTTCCATGGCCTTTTCTGATAGCACAATACATCTTATTACATTTAGGTAGTAAAATTCTATGTTCTGCCTCAGAGAATTTATATCTCAGAATATTCAGCCACCTACTCCTTACTCTGGTAGACAGAGCGGTAATAATCTTTCAGGATACATTTCTTCCTGCAATACTTTTGGCATCCCTCTTCTTTTAAAATATCACACAGAGTCTGCATTCTCATTTTGTCAGCCTGCTAGCCTGGGGTAGTGAAATGTATTTAGAAAGTGTTATCCAAATAAACCCAAAGTAAAGTGGCCTGTCATTAGAAAGAGTTGTAGATTGAAGTGCAGTTTGAAACATATATATTAGAGTTAAGGAAAAGACTATAATGTTTTTACTCAAAACTGCCTAAAATACTTGCAGCATCTTATCTATTACAAATACAGAAGATGAAAAGAGCACACGAGAGACAATTAACTCATCACCACGTGTCAAAGACAAAAATTAATAACAGACATCTTACTTTGATTTTAGAGTTTTTCTTACCAGTAAAACCAAGTATTAACTGTAAAAGTTCCTAAGTACATCCTGTCATGTTTTTTTCCACTGTTCTAATGTTACTGTTGGTTGTTTTCACTGTTCTAAAGTTGCTATTCTAATGCACCAGACTGCAAGGTCAGTTTGAACCACAAGGTCAGTGGTTCAAATTCACCATCAGTTTCTTGGAAACCCTATACAGGTCACTATGAGTAGAAAACCAACTCAACAACACTTAATGAGAACAACAACATTCAAGGCCAGGTTTAATTAATTTAAATTTCAAAAGACATCATGACTGCAAATAAGTGGTGGGCCAGAGACCACCTAGTGACCAAAAGATAGCAATTGCTTTCTGGAAAAGAGAGTTACGCTGTAATGCTAAGATTAGCCAATGCTTGATATTCTATTCTTCTCCCTTCTTTACTCTTTACAGATTTCACTTGTAATAAGCTTATTTCAAGTTATTTGGTTTTTTTTTTTTGGACTCAGAATGATTTCCCTGTATGTAGAAGAAGAACCCTTAGGGCAATATTCCTTTTTCTATTGCTTTCTGCTTCGAATGTTGGTCTGCTACCTACTCTTCTATTATGGAATTTTTCCAGCTTGCCAGCAGTGTTAGCAGCCTCTTAACAGCCTTCTATCTCAAGACCCTTCTGCAAAGAGTAACCACAAGTTCCCTTCAGATGAAACCAGGTCAGAAAGCATGTACATTCCATGTCAATGTCTTCCAACAGACCCTGGGCCCAAGAATCTCTGGAAAGAACACATTATCCTACTCACTGTTCTCCCAGGCTCACTTTCGAAATCCAGAAACGAAAAGTACCTAGAGGATATGCAGGAGAGTATGATTGGACAGCCAGACCTCTATTTATGGACAGGTGGGCTAGGGGGCAGGCAGGGATGGAAAAAGTAAGAATCAAGGAATCTCAGGTGCCCCTAATTCAGGGAGTTCCACAGTAATTTGCTCATAAGACCTCCTGTTCTTCCTTTCCTGTGCAGATAGTAAAATACTTTTCTGTATCTCTTGTAACCCAGTGTCTGCTTTATTTCAAGTTACTAATAGAACAGGACAAGGTCCCAAAGATTGGGTATTGAGAGATGTATATGGAAAGCCTAAAACAAAGACATTTGTGATGATTTGAATGGCTGCCCCAAACCTGCACTTTGATTTAAAATATCTGCTTCTGCTGCTCTGAGGAAAAAATTCAGCTTCTTGGAAAAGTTTAATTGCTTGTAACCAAAAGAGTCAGAGGACAAGAGTTTAGCTTGTGTGAAGAATTGTCTGATAAAAAGATGTTTGTCCAGAATGTTTTTGCAGCTTAATCTATGAAGAAT